CCCTTATATGTGGCTTAGTGGCTCTCTTTTGGTGCTTTTAAAATTCTACTTTGTCTTGAATTTTGACTGACTGATTATAATGTGCCTTGCAGACAGCCTCTTTAGGTTGAGTCTGAGGTTCTTTGAGCTTTAATAATCTTGGTGTTCTTATCTCTCCCATGACATGGGAAGTTTTAAGCTAGTATTTTTTTTAAATGTGCTTTCTGTGCTTTCTTGTTCTCTTCTCCCTATGAAACCCCCATATGCAAATATTTGTATACTTAAAGGTATTCATAGTCATTCTTCATTTTTTTCTCCACTCTGACTTGCTTAATACAAAAGATCTGTATTCAAAATGAAAAATTCCTTCTGGTCCATTTAGGCCATTGTTGATCTAAATTATATTTCTTCATTCTTTGAATTCTTCAAGATTTCTGTTATTTTAAAAAATAATATCTTTGTTGAATTTATTATTCAGATAATGTTATTTTTATTTTATTGAATTTTTAATTAATTTTATTGGTACACTTTAGATATACCATTGCTTTTTGTCTTCTCTGATATCTTGTTGAGCTTCTTTAGGATCATTATTTTAGATTCATTTTTAGGCATTTTTGCAAATTTCTTCTTTGAGCTCTATTATTAGAGAACTATTGTGCTCTCTTGGGAGTGTCATGTTTCCCTATTTTGTTGTGCTTCTTGTGTATCCATGTATTTAGTAGAACAATTGCCTTTTCTAATATTATGGAGGTTTTTGATTTATTTTGTTTTGCTTTGCTTTGTTTCTCTGTAGGGAAAAACATTTTGCTGTGGATAGGTGTTAGAATATCCGGTTGACTCAGTAGTTTGCTCTCTTAGAAGTTTCTTCGGCTGTTATCCTCCTCAGTAGTTGTGCCAGTGGCCTAGGCTGCGCGTGTTTGTTAGAGCCACGTGGTTTTTCTGGGGGGAAGATTTCAACCTCGCTGGTTACTGGGCCAGGTGCAGGTATGTGAAGGTGTGCTATGCTGTGTGCTCACCGGCGACACAGGGCCACCACCTCCTGGCCAGCTACTGGGCCAGGCTAGGGTGTGTGTGGATATGCCAGGCCTATGTGGCTTTGTGGCAGGCTCCTGGGGTTGGGGTGGAGAGGTTCCACCTGCTGTCAGGCCAGTTTCAGTTGTCTTTTTTAAGACTTTTTACTTGGTTCGCTGGCAGGCACGTAAACTGTTAAAATGTTAGTTAATTAGGTTGCACTGACATCTGCTGGTAAGAAAGTAAATGCTATAAAAATTGTGTCTTGTAAGTTTAAATGGAATAATTGTCTTTAAAACTTGTTGTTCCATTCTGGGTTTACCAAATTAGTGGCTATGAATAATAATTTCTGATTCAATTTGATCCTAGGGTTTGTTAGCCTTTGGCAACTCTCTTTGTTGGCCAGTGGCATCCTTTAAACAGAAACTTGATTAAGTAAAATATCTTTTAAATTGTAACCTCTTCCAATGCATTGTCGTTATATCTTCAAGTCCTTAAAAACTACAATACGTGTTGTAGTGATGTATAGTTAGAATTTACTTTTAGAAAGTTCTAAGGAAAGAAGTTTAGGCTGTAGCAGAGGCAGCAAGCTCTAACAGAGCTACCTTTAAGGGCAGTGTTTCCTTGAAATGTAACATGGCTATTTTAAAACCTACTAATTCAACATTCTAATTTAGGGTCATAGAATTCTATAATTGGAAAGAAATTTATTGATCATTTAGTTTGCCTTCTCTTTTCTTTTTGTAGTTGTGGAATTTGAGGTGTAAATAACTTTTGTCATCGACTCATACTAGAAAGTTTTGTGAGTCTCCCATTCCAGAATTTTCTGTATAAATTATCTTTACTAGCTGTATATTGCTCATGTTTATTGTTTAAACTAAAAATATACACTCATAAGTATGCTTAAGACTTTATATTTCGCTTATTTCAGCACAAGTATCCCAACTTTCTCTAACTAGAGACATGCTAGTAAAATACAGTTTATTATATAATACTACACAGATTCTTCAGAAATATATATATTTTTCCAGAAAATCAAGCTCCATTGTTTATCTTTTCGGTTGTGAAAACAGAAAGAGGTATGTGGGTCAGAGGAAAAAAGAGTCAGAAATAAAGAAATAAACCTTAACTGGGGAAATTTCTGACTTTTGACCAGAATTGGGGGTCACAGAATCATGTACCAGATTTTATAAACATATTTTATAACGTGTTTATATAAGCACAATTTCCTTCTCAATTTTGTTCCAGTAGGCATTGATGTACAGGTAGAACTCTAGAAATATAACTTGCATTGTGAGAAATCACACCATGTAGATACATTAATAATCAAATATTTTATACTATAATGACAAGGATGTTTTTTCTCAACCTTGGCATTGCAGGCATTTTCTGGTGGTCTGTCCTGTGTGTGATGTTTAGCAGCATCTCTGGGCTCTCCTCACTAGATGCCAGCAGCATGCCCTCTGTTGTTACAAAAATGCTTCCAAACATTGCCAGATGTTCTGGAGTATGGATGAGGGTCAACCCAGGTTAAAAACTACCAGTATAAAGTAAGGCTGCTTTCTTTAGAGTATTTTTTTTTTCTTAAGATGACTTAAGAATATTTCAATGAGGAATTTCCTTTTCTTTTTCAGCCCCAGATTAAATACATTTTAGCTATCTTTTCTGTGCTACAGCTACAGTGAGTTCCTTACTTTCCCCCCCCAATATCTGCACTATTTATTCTCACTTCTCAAGCTCCTGTGTTAATTTTGACATAGCCATACTGCACAACCAAGTTTTTGTTTTTAACTCTTGGCTAAGCTGCTTTATTTACCTGATGGCTTTTAAAAATTATTTTCCTGATATCATAGTGAGGTTCCTGTACATTCTACCATAGAAAACAAAATGAACCTGTGAAGTGTTAGGGCAGGTATTTTCATTCTTTCTGCATGTAAGGAAATTAAGTGGAGCCAGGACTCTACATGTTTCTGGTATATCAAATGTTCTTTTCTTTTCATCCATAGTAAGTATATATTTGAAAATATTTGGTTTTTATATTTAGAGGGCCTTCGTAAATGGAGAAAGGCAGAAAGGGAAGTAAGGGGCAAAAGATAGATGAGGGAAAGAGGGGAGAGAAAACAAAGTTGGGAGAACCTCTTGAGATGATGAAAACTGGCGCAGGGTAGACAGTGATTGTTTGAGACAGGATCTTGCTATGTATTCCAAGCTGGCGTCGAGCTGATCCTGCCTCAGCTTCCAAGTGCTGGGATTACAGGCATGTGCTACCAGGCCTGGCTAGACAGCGACTTAATCTTACCGTTCAAGTCACTGTAGCATCCTTTGAGATTCAGGCCCTTTTAATTCCTCATCCATTTACAGCGGTGCCCTCATGGCCTCCCTCCCTTAGGTCTTCCCAAAGGAAACAAATCTGAAAATTTTTGGTTGCTTCCAAATGGTTTACTGCTAGGAACAAGAAAAGGTCAGCAATTTATTGCTTATACTTATATCTGGGAGCATTTCTAGAAGCACTTTAAAAGCTTCAAAAGCACTTTAATAGAAGCTTACACTGCCGTTGAATCTTTCCTTTGACAATTGCTCGCCTGCCTTTCTAGCCTTCTCAACAGTTCCATGAATGAAAAGCCTTTCAAATCTTGCAGCATTCAAATATTTTGCATATGGAATAAACAAAAGAAAAATTTAAATATGTGATGGAAGGAAGACTGATGGGAAGCAAGTGCTCTCTGATGTGATATTAATAGTGTTGCCATGGTAACATGTCTGGAAGCATCTATGTATCAAAACCCCTAAAAACATGAATATTACTTTATTGGACTTGATTTTAAAGAAATAATTATAGATATGTTCAAAAATGTGAATTCAAGGCAAGAATGCTTATCCAAATGTTAGAATAGTGGGAAGTTATCAAATAGTAATGATTACATAAATCATGGCTTATTCATACAATGACATACCAAATAAATCATGGTAATATCCTGCAAATAAATATATGCCTACAAGTCTGCAGGAATTAATTGAGAGGTGGGCTATTAACATCTTCCTTAATATGCTAAATTTCGAGAATGAATATGTACTGCCATAATGGTAAGAATACAGTTAAAGGAAAGAATGCAAATGAGAACTCATCAGGGCTCCTTGCCCGTTGTTATGCAGAAACTCTTTCCTGCACATCTCACCTGGTGGATTCAGGGCATTTCTATGTGTGAGTGATGAGTCTTGGGATTATCACATTTTATGATCAATACCTGATCACCCCAACAGCTTTCAAAGCATTGTTGACCATTAATCCTGATACATCAACTTCAGTAAATTAAGAAATGCCTAGCAGATTGGTAAAGCACACTCCTGGGTGTATCAGGGTGTGCCATGCAGGCATGGTCTTGGATACTGCATATGGTTCCTCTTTCTAGCACCGTTTCCCTGCTCTGCTTCCCAACTGCCATAAACTAAGCAACTTTGCTCTTCCACATTCTTCTGCCATGGAGCCTACCAACCATGGAGCCTCCTGAAACTGTGAGCTATATTAAACTTTTCCTTCAGGAAAGCTAACTAGTACACAAGCTATCTCCTTTATTCCTTAAAGGGAAAAGAAAAAAGCCAAGGTAGATACCATTCTCATTCTGTAGATGAGGAAACTGAAGCTCTAAGTGGTTAATGAAGTGTCTAGCAAGGATTTGAGTCCAAAACATTCTAATGGCAAAGTCTGCACTTTAACTGCTAAGCTACATTGGTTTTCATATGCACTTTTAAGCCTCAGCATCTCTTTTTTGGATCATGTGTGGCAAGAATAAGAAGTGTTTGAGGAAAGAGGATTTTATGTCATGCTGAAGGCAAGTTTAAACGCAATATGGGAAATGAAATCTGGGAATATTCTCCCAATAGGAAATTTTCTCATGGAGAAGGCTGCTAATTTTTTTACTTGATTCTCAGCAATCTATAGAGCATACAGAAATTTGTAAAAACATATGCCACAAAAAACCATGATCTGCTTAATCAATATGGAACACAAGGATGGTTAAAGTTTATTTTATTTATCAGATAATGGAATACCAAGGGGGGGGAATAATACCAAGGTTGGAGAGAGCAGATAATTAACATTATCTATTTTTAGTGAGGTTTCAAGTTTTTTCTTTATATGCCTACACTAAAACACACACTCCAATATAAAAAAAGCAAAATATACTGAAGACACAATGACCTCATAATTAGAACATTAACCACGGTTATTTTCTTACTCTCACAGCGTTGCGATCTTGAGACTGCATAGGCATAATGTAAACAGATGAGAAGGACAATAACTTCAATGAGAAGAAGGAAGAGGAAGATGAAGAAAAAGTGATAGTGGTTTAATTAGGCACTCCTCGCCACAGTGGCGAATAAGGACTAAATGTAGACACTGGGTGGGATAGATACTAATTCATGTAATAGAGAGTGGGCAACCTTAACAAGTAGCTGATGAGGACCCTCTAAGGAATTCCTCTGCTATGATTGCTATTTTTTCCCGTATCTATGTAACTGAAATTTCATTACAATGCATAGTGCCTTAGACCTTTTGAAAAAAAATGAAAAAAGTTCTGAAGGCAAGCATTTGTGTGTAATACACAGAGCTGTTTAGTATATCCAGGAGATAGACGCTTTGATGTGAAGGGTTTTAACTTCTGCTACTTCCTACTGGCTTATTCTTTCAGAAGTTATTTTATACATGTTTCTCAAACACATACTTTATGTAAAATATGAAAATATACATGCTCAAGGTCAGATTTGGTGACAAAATACAGTTATACATTTAATCCTTGCTGCATGTAAGTTGCACATAAAAACCAAAGGCTGCATATTTTTGGTGATCCATGCAGTAAATGCTCACAATACTCAAGCAAACAACTAGATGTTCTTTATATCCTAAAATTTACCCTCCTGTTCACAACAGACTTATCTACAAAAATAAAAGTATCAACAGTTGCATCAAAACCATGCTGGGCAGTAAATTTGGTTGGAAGGGCCACAAGGAAAACATTGGGAGCTATGGATTTTCCTTGTTTTCACATGGGATGGAGACTATTCTCCCCTCACATGGCTTTTCCCTATACTGCAAGCTTTTGTTAAAGAGGCACTTGAAATTAAAATAATCCCTTTTAGTGAAAAAGCTAAGAAATGCCTCTCTGGAGTTTCTGATCTTGGAAACAGCTTGCTCTAGGTCCTTAAGGCAAATGCCAGTAATCAAATAAATTGTTGAACAGTCTCAGGTTGTAAATAATAAAATTGCTAACCAAAGAGTTAACCTTGGATGAAAACATTTTGCAAGAAGGCCTGTATGGATAAAACCAGATTCTTTGTTCTTGAAATTAATGTGACTTTTATATCATAGAAATGCTGCTTATTTCTTCTATTGTAGAGACTTCTGGACTAGATAACCGTTCATGATGTTGGTTAAAAACAAAAATAGATAGCATGGAAGTGCTATTCAAATACCAAGAAGTTTTCAGGTTTTTGTTTTACTTTCACATTTTACTTTTGTGGTTGGCATATGGAAAGCCAAATTGGGAAATCATAATGTTGGAGTATTTTAATGGCATGCTGTCATAGATTTTAACAAGCTTATTTATACAATAAGACCGCTGCAGAAAGTGCTCGGCTCGATGCCACATTCCAGAATAGCCAGTGTTGGTTTCTTTTTCCCAATTGAACATGTAGACAGGTTTTACAAATACCCCTGATGTCTTCCCAATGTGCTTGGCAATGAGAAAATTCATGGCAATGTCATCACAGTTTTGGGTTTCATCTATTAAAGCATGGATGGCTGAAGCTTGTCTCTGAAAGAGTTCCAGATATTTGCTGCTGAAGAATGAGGCTCCAGTCAGCACCATAGAGTACTGGTCACCATTTCCAAACCCTGGTGTTTGCAGTTCAAAACTTCCGTAACTATAGATACCTGATGAAGTAGAGACATGTTTTCTAGGAATAAATCCTACAATTTGATCAGGAAATTGCTGAAGAGGGGAGAAAAAGAGAAATTAAGTGTGGCATTTCTTTAAGCAGACAGTGAAAAAGGACATTTATTACAGAGAGAATGAAACTGATTTGTCAACTTTTCCTTATTACCCATTTCTACATCTTAATCTCCACTAATTCCAGACAACTTCGTAAATCTGTGACTTAAATTTACAGGTCAAATTCTATCACAGCCCAAATTGCTGAAAGGAAAAAAAGCTCTAACCTCACACATATTCTAATTTTAACAACATCTGACCTTAACAAATCCCAGCCACTGAAGAGTCTAGTCCTTCAAAGTTTGCTGCGAGAAGTTGATTGCATGGATGCTATTTATTATAGGAGATAACATATAATGTGATCATTTTGAAAGCTGTTCTAGTCTCTTAGGAATATATAAAATTATAGTTCTCTATATATAATTTTACTGTTTTTCCGTATTGATTTTAATGTTTCTGAAAGTCACTGTTGATTTTAAACATTATAAGTACTTTTATATTTTGATTCTTTTTTGCTTGGGTATTTCCTTTTTAAAATATAAGCTAATATAAATACATAAAATGTAGGTACAAATTCTCAATAATGAATGTCAGTATATTGTATACCTAAAATGTGCCAATAAAATTAATGAAAATATATAAATAAAACGAAAGTTAATTCTGGTAAAAAAAAATCCATACAATGTAAATTATATACAATTGGCTGAAACAATTTGGCTCACAAGCAGAAGCATTTGGCAAAATTTTATTTTTGTTTGCAAACTCTGCATCAGGTGAGAAACACAGCCACGGCCATTTTTCTCACACAAAAATTGGCAATCTTTTTCAAAAATGTAGAACAAATGCATCTAAACATAAATGAGAGGAGTGTCAAGATCTTTAAAGCAAGGATAGTAGCAAAAAATTTAATATTAAGGTGAGAGTGACTAGAGTAAAATAAAAGTCAGCAAACAAAAGAAAATACTGAGGCATGGGAAAGAGGCAAGATCTCACAGGATTGAAGGTTCAGTTCATTCTTGTAAATACTTCAAGTTTCATTCATGTATTGAATAGACTCTAAACTAGCAACACACACATTCAGCCAATCAGGATGACTTAAAACTCATTTCAAAGAACTCACAGTCCAGGGAAGCTACGGTTCAAACACATGAACAAAGACTTACAATGCAGGAGAAAGCTGTAAATGTGGCTGGATAATTTGACAGAAGCATTGAGGACAGAGTGACAACTGTGTTGCTGGAGGAAAGTAAGAGGTCAGGGAAGTACCATTCACACATTCTGGAGAATGAGACATGTCACAGGAAAAGGGGAAGGACGGAAAATGGCAGTAATGGGCACATGCAAAAGTGCAGATGAACACCCACTCAATCTTGCTCTCTGTATCCCTCAAATCATTACATATGCAGGGCATTGCTTAGACTCATCACGAGGAGCCAGGTTATCTTGAGCAATAGATTCAAACTGTTCTTGATAATTGGATGAATAAAGCCTAGTATCATATTTATACCTCTTTAATTGTGGTATACTAGGACTATTCTAATTTGTCATAGTCCTCATATTCTTCCTTCCACCATCTTTACTTTTTGAGCAAACTGATCTTTTTTACCTTTCATAAAAATCTCACAGCTGAAGTATATTATACTAGAACCTTCTGCCCGAGAAGCTTTAATTCACAGGGCTGGAAAAACTGCTCTGACCACTTACCATAAATACCTAATGTTGTTACATCCCAAGTAGTTAATGAAGGAGAGTTGTTACAGTGCAAATTAGATCATTTATTGAGTGGCACTGTGTCTAATCATTTCACAGGGCTTCAGAGTATTTGTCTGTCATTCTTGTTTCAGGTAATTTTGTTCCAATTTATGAAAGAAAGTCAGGTATTATTAATACATATCCATAGGAAAGCTATTGAGCAATAAAGTCCTATTTACCCAAGCTAGGATTCAGGGGGAAAAAAAAACAAACAGAAACCTGCCCACCACAACAGCATATGCAGAATATTACTGCAGGTAAACCACCGTTTTAGAACTAGGATTACATTTTGTTGAGGCAATAGATGCTTTCTTTTACAAAAGTTATACACAATAGTAATATAGAAATACATATTGCATCTGAGACACCTATCTGTAGACTGTGAAAAATTACCCTGCATTCTAGTTTTTGGTGTACCAGATGATTATTTCATTATTCTCTAGAAGGTAATTCCAGTTCTCCTTCCCAATATATTAAAATATTAATTATAGATAGAAATATTTTAACTTTATTGTTAGTTTAACTAAGCTCAGGAAATCTTGATTAGTCTACAACAATTTCATCTACCTTTTAGATAAATAACTAAGTACAATGTTTTGAATAACTCCTAGGTTAAACCATGTTGGCCTGGTTAAGCGCTAGATAACACTCCACTCAGGTGGTTTCATAAAGGGTAGAGCAACATTACCTGCCAAACTGAGAAAGCAAATTCAAGGTCCTGGCCACTAATGAGCATGTCATCATCTACCATTAACACCGCTGAAAGGAAATGAAAAAAAAATTTATATTGAACAGTTTGAAAGGAAAACAAAAGTAGTTAAGGTACAGTTGTGTCTATAGAGATTGCAAATAAAGTTCCTGGTCTAATTAGTAAATAAGAAATGTACTGGAAGCTGAGTGTGGTGGTGTATGCTTGTAATCCCAGTACTTGGGAGTCTGGGACAGGAGAATCACAGTGAGTTTGAGGTCAACCTGGGTTACATAGTGAGTTCAGAGCCAGCCTGAACTACAAAGTGAGACCTTGTCTCAAAAAAAAAAAAAAAAGTTATATATATATATATATATAGGAAAGATTTGTCTAGTGGAAAAAAATCTTTTTGCATTATAATTGTTCTTATAATTGCCTGAGGGGGACATAATCATGTAATTATCATCCATCATCCTAGAAACAAATGAATCTTACAAATAAATAAAGCCAAAGTTCTTTTAAACAAATTACAACCTCAAAAAACTTACAAATGAGAAGAGTGACAAAAAATATATTAAGCTAAACAATACCTTACTATTTTCTATAATGCAATGATAATTATAGCACTTCTTCCTTCCTCTTTTTTGCAATATCAGGGTCTGTTAGTATAAAATATTTTCCATTTCCTCTCCAGTAAACTGCACTGAGATCTTAGAAATTGCTCCTTAAGTTTTTTCAAAGCGTGTTTTTATGATTTACTTCTCTTATTTTCCTCCATACAGTGAAGACAAGTACAAAGTTGAAAACCCACACACCCATTCCAGTTCCGATGAGCCACAGCACTTAAGAGTCTCAGAACCCAGGTTTAACTCACCATTGGTTTCCAGCTCAGGGAAGACCTGGAAACGATTTCTCATTCTGTTTGCTATTTGTTGTTTGAAGATCACAGGGACAGGGTGAGGCCCTAGAGAATTCCATAACTCATCTGGTCCCTTCTCCCCAACATTGTTCCACACCACAATCACTTTGTGCAGATGTGGTACTGCTTGATAATGATTTAAAAGTCTCAATAAGAGATCTGTTCTATTGTATGTCTGCATGATAAGAGTAAAAGAATCCAGAGCAGACTTTCCCTGGGATTTTATTTCCCTACGCAAAGTAAGCATTTTATCTTCTTTGATATTGGGAAGTAAATTGGTCAAAACTCCAGCTACCAGTAGTAACACGAGGATGACCACCAAAGAGAAACGAAGCACTCGAATCCCCATTACTCTCCCAGGAAGTTTGCAGATGTGGCAACACCTGGAACAGAAATGAGTATAAAATAAAGAATATTAGCATTCTTGCCAATCACCATATTTTTAATCACCATGTTTTTTTCAAGGAGAGAAATCAATCTTATTTTAGGTGATTCAAATTTACTTCTTCCTTACTCTTCAAAAGGTGATCTGGTCTAAGAGATAAATAGCCTAATATTCCTTTCCTTTTGGCCCTGCTTGTGCAGTTGTAGACAAAAGATTTTTTATACACCAAATAAGAAGAATTAGGCATTCTAAAGTTTGACTTTATTTTATCACTAATAATCTAGATCTGAGATTATGTCTAAAATGAAATATTTCCCTTATACATTAATTTTAAATTTGTATTGGCAGCAGACTTTTTAACACACATAAAATCATACACAGAACTGTAAGACATGAAGGAGTTAACAATAGTAACTGCAGCAGCAAATAATTTTGGTGGATCTGTGACTCATCAGGCCTTGCACTGTGTTTCACAGATTATATTATGGATTTACTCATTCACAAAATTAAACAGATACTAAGCACTTGTGGCAGGCACTGTCCTAGGTTTTATACATAAAGCATTGAATAAGATAAAGTGTCTGGTGCTAGTATCAGAGGAGATAGGGAAAAACAGATAAACAAATTCAAAAGATTATTTAGGATAGTGGTCATGACGAGAATATGATTATGAGGAAAATAAATTAGAATGATGTGATAAGCAAGGGCTAGCTTATGAAGGGCCTTGACAACCTCAACCAGTATATAGATTTTATTCTAAATGAGCTGGAAAGCCATTCAAGGGTTTGATTAGGAGAATATTTTAATTTAATCTTTATTACGTTTCTCATTTAATAGTTTAGATGCTTACAGAGATTAAGTAACTTTCCTAAGATGACTAATCAATTTAAGTAATGAAGCTAGAATTTATATCAGGAAAATTTGTCCCCAGAGCCCAGGCTGCTCAGCACTGTGGACTGTGGTGTGCTACTTGGATTCAAATCCAGGTGGGAACTGAGGTCAGGCTCTTGAGCTTCTGAAGCTCCCTATTTGCAGTACAGATCACAGCACCCGCCTATTCATTTACTTTCCTCCTAATACCCGAGGATCTTCCACAGATGGCCATAAAACAGCAGTGAACAAATAACTGATAAGTATGGCTTAGATATTCGTAGGTCAAAATATTTTTTCTTTTCTTTTTTTTTTTTTCAAAATATTTTTTCTAATCAAGCTTCTCAATTTTATATGTGAGAAAAGGTTAAATCTTAGTTTGATAGAGACCCAGAACTGATTACCGGCTTCCACACAACTGTATTTCTACGCTTACTGACTCCTACCATAGCGCCATCATCCTTCAATTATTGGTTTTTAATTCTTTTGTTATTTCTGCTTCTGACTCCGGGTTACTTACTACTCCACAAATCTCCATCACCCTTATATACATGTCCTTTTTATTTTGGCAACTGCCTATCCTACCCATTTTAGCAATATATCTATTGAGTTTGATATGACTGCAGCCATCCGAAATGATAACTGCCATGATTTCACCAGGGTAAGCTTAGTAGTTTTCCCCTGCAGCTTCCCAGCATATTAGAAGTAGACAAAACCATCACAGTGGTATGTGGAGCCACACATACCAAGCACGTGCAGGTAAAGGAAGAGCTGCTTCACAATGGCATGGAATGGTCATTGTCCCAGCAGCTCTTAGTTTTCAACAGTTCAGGTTTGAAGAGCAATGTTACCTCGACAGTAAGCTTTCTGGAGAATTTCAAGGCTATTCTCTCCTGGGCTTTTTTTTCTATACTTTGTTCTATGAAAAAAAAAGCAATTTTGTGTTTCCTGGCCTATCATGGCTTCAGTCTAAGATATGAATAAAACAAATTATTTCTGAAGTAACCTCAGCTTTACTATGATTATTTTTCAAGGACAGTAATTTAAGGCTTTAGAGTACAACATTTTCATTTTATGTACCCTCTTATTAAGACAACACATACTGTTAATATAGTCAACCAAAGACAAGCCATATGAATTAATCATCTTGACTCAAAGACTTGAAAATCCTTTCAATAATGAATCAAAAGCATCTCATAACATATTTTCAATTCTACATAAAAATGGCCAGTAATAAACACTCAGAGTAAAGAGCATTTTGACAACTGCATTAAAATATTCTACAGTAAGATCACTGTATTCAGATAAATAGGAATAGAGTATTATAAAACTTATATGGAAGGAAGTATTTCCAGTCTCTAAAATGGACAATAACTTCTATGTGTCAATTTAGTCTAGAAAAGTAATGAAGAATAATTACTACAGCTTACTGTCAATATAGGTCAAAGACATTCATGAGTGACTGCTTCAATTTTATCTATGCTTTGAAGTAGTGTATTCCCTGTACCCATTATAGAAACTTTCTCTTTCAGATAGCTTCTAATCCCCTACTTTACCTCAATCAGAAAGGTTTCCTGAAATATGAATAATTTAGGTCTTTAGAAATATATTTTAAATATTTCATTTGGCATTTATTAAATACGGCAGTCCAATAAAATTATGCAAACTTTTTGGCTTGCACGGAGAGCAGGGACATCAGAGACCATACTGCAAGTGATACATAAAAGAGTGAGGTCTGGGCTGGGGATTTAGCTGCTGCCTGCCTCACAAGCACAAGGACCTGAGTTCTATCCCCAGTACCGGAAAAAAAAAAAAAGAGTGAGGTCTAGAACTCCATGATAGTTCCATCAGAAAAATCTTTAGTAAACCTGGGAGAATAATGACTACAGCTGTATGGATTTCACAGTTTACAGCTTTCTTTTTTAGAGAATCTACCATCTAATTCATAAATTTGAGCTTTCAATGGAAGTCACAGGAACACATCTGGATGACATGTCTTACTTGTAAAGAACCAAGAAGAAATTTAGGCATCTCTCAGTTCTCTTGCTCTCAATTCCTAAATTTCCCTTTTAAACTTTTAAAAATTATGTATATGTATCCTGTCTCATTCCAAAAAGGAGCTGATAGCTTTTAGTCTGTTCTCTTTCTGCCCATCTTTCATCCCCATAAATAAGCAAATGAAACATAACTTTGATAAACACTGTAAATATCAGCAAAACAAAATAAGAATCCTTCCTCTTTTTTTATTATTGTAATACCTTGGTTCATGAACTTAATTTGTTACATGATTCTGGAAAAGATGGCCATGTTCATGTTTGTGTGGAAAAGATGTTCATCACCCAATGCAGAATTCACAAACAAAAGCAACATTTTGCCAATTGCTTCTGTTTGCAAACCGAATTGTTCACAAATAAAAGTGTTCATGAACCACGGTACCCTTGTACTTAAAAAATCAGATTTCTCAATGATATATATGTTTTGTACCTATTTTAACTTACTAGTTCTTCAAAGGTAGTGAGTACATCTTTTTAGTTATTTAATTACACAATATTATTTCAGTATCTTCCATACCAAAGGATTTCAACTAGGAACAGTTGTGTTCTCCAGGGAACAAGCAAAGTCCAGAGATATTTTTGACTACTAGAACTCAAAGGGAAACACTATTGGTATCTAGTAGGTAGATGTCTGAGATGCTGTTAAACATACTAAATGCTTGGGACAGCTACCCAAAGCAAAGAGTTGTCACATCAGCAATGGCAAGGTTGAGAAACTCCGCTCTACACCTTAGTTGTCTAAGACACCCTTGAACCTGACAGGCAGGTAGCCTCTGAAAACCTTACTGCCATTTGTTAATATTCGAACTGTAAGGGACAAAGCCATGTCTCTAAAACTGCCTCAACATTTATGTATCTCACTATATAAACACATAAACTCAGAGAACTGAAAGACACCTCAGAGCTTTCCTAAGCCAACTTCCTTGTTTCACAGATGAACTCGGGTCCAAGGATAAGGAACTGCCTAATGGCCGTGTAGCTACATTAGGCTAATCAGCAGCAGAGCCAGGACAAAATTCTTGTCCTGATGGCTCAGTCCATGACTCTTTCCACATGTTGCAGTAAATTCTGCAAGGATATGTAAAAAAATAAATACCTAAGACAGTCACTATGGTACCTGCAAGATAATATAAAAATTAATACTTAGTATTTTGGAATTTTTTTTTTACAGCTTTACTAAGATTTTGCCTATCACAAAATTCACTCATACAGTTTAGTGGTTTTTAATATACTCAGGAGTTTTGGAAAAATCATCACAATTTTAAAACATTTTTAACCCCCCCAAAAGAAATTCAGATCCATTAGCAGTCACTTCCTTTTCTAGTCTCCCTGACCACCAACCTGTACTCTAGCCCCAGAAAGTCATGAATTTACTTTTCTCTCAATGGCTTTGCCTATTCAGCCCATTTCCTAAGAATAGAATCATAGAATATAAGGCCATTGTATCTGGGTTTTACATTAGCAAAAGTTTTTCAAGGTTCATATACATTATAGCAGAGATGGGTACCTCATTTCTTTCTTTTTTTTGCTATTTCATTGTATGGATCTATCACATTTTATCTTTTCATCAGTTGCTGGATATTTGAGTTGTTTCCACATTTTGACTGTTATGAATACTACTGCTATGAAGATCCATGCACAAATGTTTATGTGAATATACATTATCTCTCTGTGAAAATGTCTAGGTGTGGAATTGCTGGGTCCTTATTCAGGAGTAAATACCTGAGAACTGAAATATTTTTTGGAAGAGCATTATTTGAAATTATAAGAAATTTTCTTAAATGTGGTGTTATGGCTTGTATCTAGATATCCCCTCAAAGTCTCATGCAGTCATAGGTGGGGCTTTTTGGAGGTGGCTGGGTCTAGAGTATGTGCTGCTGGGATCAAGGATATAATAATGGGATTGATTCAAGGTGCAATGCTAGGATGATAGCTGCCCTATTCTGGATGTGACTGCTACCTGCCCTAAGGGTGGGTAGCCTGGATAGGATATGAGGACATATCCTATGGTTACTTGTTGCATGCAGCTTGTTGCTTGTTGCTTCTTTGCAGCTTCACTGCCTTCTGCCTGCCA